GGGAATTAAAGGGCAGACGTGTAGGTATTCGAGGCAGACGATGATGCATAGGAAGACGAGCGCATTTCGGTAGGACGGCAGGCATTGGTATCGGTGGAGTTTGCAGAGGGAGACTGCGCGCTGTCATGATGCGGGGGCGTGTAATGGGGGCGTCTTGCTTAGAAGTGAATGAGACCTTTGTGTGTGGTTCAAGCTGTTTCAGTGACCGTTGTCGTCTTGTGCGGCGACTTGTGGCTCGAGAAACTTGTGGATATATGCTCAGTCGCCCGTCAAAATACGCCGGAAGACATCCAAAGAGTACCTCAGTTTCTCACTGATTTTGCATCGTCAACGCACGTTCGACTTGCGCCTGCATCTGCGGAGGCCACAGACGTGTAGAGCAATCACGTACGGTCATCTTTGCACTGATTGATTTATCGTATTGCGTTCGCAGGATATCGGTCAGATAGGTAATTGGCATTCGTTGCCATATAAGGTGAAGATGAAGCCCACACAACCACACAACCGTGCGCTGCAGATCTGGATGCGTGTGTGTGTGTGTGGTGTCTTTCAGCGTTATGGAGGATGATCAGCTGTCACTGCCCAGTGCTGAAGCTGGTCGGCGAGGTGACGAACGCCTTTGAGAACATGGCAACGCTCACCATGTCCTGCTTGCCAGGCTCCGCCAGACTTAGACATACAAAGCACAAGCAGACAAGACGGCAACTCGAGCCACTCACTGCAGACACAAGCCTGCATCATGTGCACGTAGCGAAACAGAGACACTTTAAGCTTTCGTCTGCATCCATCAGACAAACACTCATGTGTGACTCAATACGTAACACTCAATACGACACAGTGAAAATCAAGGGGGGGAGGAAGACACAATGCCGATTCGCGCTGCTGCCGTTCACTCGCCGCGAGCTCCGCCAAAGCTCGCCACCATCCTCTTCGATCCTTGCAAGCTCAAATGCGTCGCTTTCTCTCGTAAATTTCATCAGTTTGGATGGCCCAACTGCCCAGGTGGGCTGCCCCCAAGGCGGCCGCCGCTGGGGCGCATCGCAGGCGCTTGAGCCAGGTAGCTTCTGCATGGACGACTCCTTCTTCTCATTGCATACGCCGTGCAGCTCGTGCGTGGCATCCCACGGTCTTCTCTTGATGCATCTGATATGTGTTGTTGATGCATGCAGTGCCTGGCTCGTGTGGACCCTGGCGTTAGCAAGTTTCTTGCCGAGGTGCCCGATGAGGAGTTCCCCGAGGACATTTGGAGGTGTCCCATCACACTGCAGCCGCTCCGACGCCCCGTCGTCACCCCCAGCGGCAATGTAAGCACGGCATGCATTCATCCCCACGCATCCCATGGCTGGTTTGGCTGGCTGTGTGTCTGTGAGTGAATGCAGACATATGAGTACAGTCCGATGAAGAAACTGATCAAGTCCAACCCCCAGCAGACGGCCATGTCGCCCCAGCCGCGCCAGCCGCTGCACCTCGACGACCTTCGCCCCAACCGCTACGCCGTCAACCAGATCGAACAGCGGGCCAAACAGGTCCGTTTGCAATGGTTTGCATCCGCACATGGGCAGGGATCATTCATCCGTTTCCCTCCCTTGTCAGTTGTTGAAGGAGCAGCAGATGGCGGTGGACGAGGGGGAAGGGGCCGCCACGTCCAGCCGCGCGTCACGACACGACCAGATCCTGAGTATGCACATCCACACAAAGCGGGAAAGGAAAAGACATATCGTTGTGTCTTATATACCCGTGTGTGCAGGGAGCGGTCAGAAGAGCCGCAGCTTCTTGCGCGACTACTGGAGGGGATACAGGGATACCGTGCTGGAAGTGGGGGTAGACTTCGAGCCCACACGGGCCATCCTGGACTTCGTACGCATCCAAAGACATACACACATGGCCATCCCCACACCAAATCATTCTTCTCGCTGCCGTGTGTTTGCGTCTCTGTCTGTGTGTTGAATGCAGCTGGAGAGGGAGAGCGAGTTGACGTTTCAGCTGCTGTCGTGGCACAAGAAGGAGACCACCAAACACAAGGCCAAACAGGTACGTAACACGATCGGCATGCGGACCTTTCTCCTTTGTCTGGGCTGCGGTTCGTCAGTTCAAGACATATCAGGATTTCCTTCCCCGCCAGGCCGAGAAGACCATCGTGGCCTGGCTCAACTTCCAGGAGACCACCCTGAACGATGGCCTGATCCGGTCCGCTGCTGCTGCTGTCGCCGAGTCTGTCGAGCCCAACATCCAGGCCTTTGGCATGCTCGACGATGGGCCAAAGCACCGTGTCCTGGCGATCGTGTCACAGCGCATGGGGTCGGGGCAGCTGCTGACCTTCGGCTTGACCTTCGGTGACGTTGCCGTGGCGTTGATGGATCAGGCCGAAGACGATGTCCATCTCGCCTTCGCTCGTGCCGTTCTTCACGCCATGCAAACGGACATGAATTTGGGAATACAGGCAACGCAGGCCTGCAGACAGAGATGACACACACAGAGATGGCTTGTGTGCTTATTCATCTATCTGCAGATGTTGGAATCGGCCACAAGGCCGTTTGATCTCAAGAGGGCACTGGAGGTCGTCCTGCCCGTGGCCGAGCAGTTGGCTTGCGAGGGAGACGACGTGCGCGCTGCCCGTGTCATCCGAGACGCGGCCGTGACCCTCAACAACCACCTCAACCGGCACGCCTTCCTGCAGGGCGTCAAGCTGCACCACTGTTTGGAAAATGGGGCGTTCACACGGGTTGGTACAAGAAAGAAGTCATGTTCGCTCTTATGCTGCCTTGCTCTTTTGGCTATTTTTATGCAGCTGCGTGAGCTGATGCCGGGTGCCTTCGAAGACCCCAATGCATCATCTGCCGCCGCTGTGGCGGCCGCAGTGGCGGCAGAGTGCCCGTACCAGATCAACCGCGGCACAGCTGCCGGCAAGAAGCGGAGTCTGACGGGCTTCGACTATGCACTGGTGCTCGACGGCATCACGGCCATCTTCAAACGACTCTTCCAATGATAAATGATAGCTGCGGAGGACGGGGGGGGCTGTCATGTCATGGGATGTCATGTTGTGTGTTGGTCTATCGAATCGATGGATTGCCTGATGGATGGAATCACTGCCGGCTCCCTGTCTGCAGATCTGCCTGCCTGCCTGCCTGCCATGTCTTGGCTGTCTCGCCTGGGAAGTGGACCTGGGAAAGGGGAGATTGACGGGATGTACACTAGAGGGTGGACGAAAAATACTGATGCAATCGGACACACAGATGAGATTCGATTGAAGAGATGAGCAACATCGGTCGCACATCATGTCTCAGCATGCACATCGGTTTGCAGTGACATGATGAAAGGGAGAGGCACCATCAAGCTCATATAAAATGTAGGTAGCGATATACGAGCACTGCACGCTGCTAAGGGCCGACGCCTTGGCTTTGTTGGTGGCCTTGCTCTCGTGATGGTGACCCTTGGGGTCGAGGGTGAAGCTCTCCTTCTCCTTCATCAAGTTGAAAGGCGGTGAAGGCTGGGACTGCAAAGTGACCCTCAAACCCTAGGCCCTGGCGACACAAGGAAATCATGACACGGTGTGTTTGGGTGGTGCTGTGCCGTCAGTGTATACCCTAAGTCTCTGCGTTCGCACCAAGGGGGCCATCTTGGGGTTGGCGGCCTCCCACTCCTTGAACTGCCGCCACAGCTGCCTGTTGTTCACCCTCGCCCACTCCTCGTCAAAGTGTGCCCACTGCGAGTGGTCGTAGAGCTGCTTGGCCTTCTTCTCCTCAATCTCCGCCCACCGCTTGTCATCATCCTCGGCCTCCTTCGCCTCTTGTGCCGGCAGATACTCCTCGACAAACCATCGGTTGATCTCCTCTTGGCTTGGCTCTGCCGAGGGTGGCGCGTCGCCGGCAAGAGGCTCTTGGATGCCCTCTTGCGAGGCGCCGCGCCAGTCTCGTGTGCTCGCCGTGGGCAGCTGGGCGAGCTGAGGGGAGGGCTTCTTGGTGTCTGCCGGGTGGGGGGGCTCGTGGGCTTCGGTGTCCTTGGCGGCGATGTAATAGCGAAGCTCACACGAGAGCGCTGTCGCATTCCTGAAGGACCGGCATGAGAGCATTGATAAAACCACGCCTCACGCGGCTTGCCGACCTCTCACTGACCTGCCATCACTGAGCTTGGCCGTCCGGCCTGGCGGGGCGTACATGTAGATGGCCTGGGGGTGCTCCGTGCGGTCTGTGTGGACCGTAAGGACGGACCCCCCCGGCCCAAACACACACGGCTTGGCATTGTTGACGAGGCCACGACGCACCCACTCAGTCGGTGCCTGCACACAACCAGCCCAGCGAGCGACACACATCCGAGTGAAAGATGAGATCAGGAGATGAGAGCGCCACTCTCCCGCCCTCTGTGCTGTAGATAGGATGTCACATCGCATACATACGTGTTTGAAGACGAAAACGTGGTCAGTGATCTTGATGTCGCCCGTCAACAATCGACACCAACTTGCCGTCCGCCAGGAGCACCTGCCGCCCGACCCCCCACCAGCAGCATCTGGTCCTCGCCCCTCGTTGACCACCTCAGTGGTCTCCTCGCCCTCGGCCTCCTTGCCGTCGTCGGTCGTCTGGGGCTGTGGCGCTTTGCTGGCCTTGGCTGACGCCTCACTGGCAAGGGCAGACGGTGCAGATGGGCCGGAGGGTGGCGGGGCAGCACTGGGAGGCTTCGGTGAGGCCTCCGACGGGGCCGACTCGCCCTCGTGGGATGACCTCTTGTCCTTGGTGCTGGCGGCCTTCTTGCCCTTCTTGCCCCGCTTGCCGTGGGTTACCTTAACCACCCGCCATCACCCGCGTGCATCGACGTCGCGGGCTCCTCCTTACCCTTGATCTTCTCCACCACTGGTGCCGGAGAGACCTCCGATGAGGCGGCACGCCCCTCAACAGCAGCGGTCATCTTGGGCGTCGGCACGTCCACTGGCGGCTTGGCCTCCTCGGCGTGTTCTTGTACGTCTGATCCATCAAGAGGAAAACAACCGACTGAGGGATGTCTGTTCGCATCCAGCGCCAAGGCCACATTCACACATGCTCACCTGAAGCCTCTCCCTCCTTTCCTGCGGCACGGCGACATTCGGACAAAGGGGAGCTGGGCGGACCACCCAAACCAAAAACTATATCCCAAAGGACGAAGAAGCCTAGAATCGGCGGCTGGAAGAAGGAAGGCACAGACGAGTGTATGGTGGTCTCAGTGTGTTCCCTTGGTCACCTCTCACGAACGCCCCGCACCCCTTCAGCAGCTTCCGCCTGTCACTGGCGGCCAAAAAGATGACGACGCCCAACGCCAGCTCACCAACAATCAAACCAAACATCTAAAAGGAAAAGCGGGAAAGATGAATTAGATGAATTCAAGGATGTCACATCAGGGTTTGTGGGGTCATCGTCTCGCCGTCGCGAATTCTTGCCGACCCTTTCTGCGCGGAGGTAGAAAACGAATAAAGAGCTGGAGGTGAGAAGGAGTAGCGTTGGCCTCCCAGTGACGACTCCAATCCCTTCCGCTCACCGATCTGCCCATCTGCCTGGTTTCGTTCCATAGATCAAGCATGCTCCACAGCTACCCGCCCAGCCACCATCACCGGCACAACGGCCATGGCCCGCCTCCTCATCACATGGGCGGGCACCACACGCACGGTCCGCCGTTCGGCGGGCGGCCCGGGCGCATCATGGAGGTGGACGTGGAGCGGCGGGTGCTGGAGCTGCGGCTGGGCGGCATGATGATGGACGACGGACAGCTGGAGGAGTACTGCAGGTGCGTCAGAGAGGGGAGGGGGGAGGGGAGATGAGATGCACACGTGTGTGGCGAGACGCATCATATGTTTGCATGTGGTGTGTGTGGGTGTGGGTGTCTGCAGGTGGATATCGTCTCAGCTGACCAATGTGCGGACGGAGTTCCAGCTGGGTGCGATGGACGCCATCATAGCGACGGTGGATGTGTCGAGCAACAAGATCACAGACGCCGGCGTCAAGATGCTCACGGTGCGTCGATGCGTGTGTGTCTGTCTGGGCATGATTGTGAGCGGAAGGAAACATCTGTAAGTGTGTGTGTGTGTGTGTGTAGGATATGTTTGACAAGTGGCGCATCCACGCCCGTGTGCTCAAGTTGTTCAAGAACAGGATCACCGATGCTGGTCGGTTCGCAGACACGAAATGGCCCAAACACAATACACGCATTGCTTTGCATTCAAGTGTGTGCATGTGTGTGTGTGCGTGCGATTGCAGGCGCTAAGATGCTGGCCAAGTACGTGTGGATGAACCCCTCGCCCATCTGCGAGGTCCACCTCTCGCACAACCAACTCACCGGTGCGACCACACACACACACACATCCCTTCTCATGTCATGCGTGTGTGTGCATTGGCCCACCCTGCTGCTTGTGTCCTGTGTGTGCGATCAGAGGACGGCATGAAGATTATCCTGGATACCTTCTGCAAGCACGACGCCTACCCGGGCTTCATGCGACTCAACGACAAGTGGGTGGGTGTGGTGTTTGACAACCACACACGCCCGCCACACGCATGTGTGTGGGACCTGCCACTCAGGTTTGACATAGTGGGCCGCAACCAGGCTCTCAAGGACGGCAGTGCCAACGGCGCCCGCAGATGGATCCCCGTGTGGCTCCGCCTCGAGAACAACCAGCCGCGCGACGTATTCTCAGGTAGGCATCCGCACACCGAGCCCGAGATGTGTGTGTGGCGGCGAGGCATTCACACGTGTGTGTTGGTATGGTATGGTATGGTGCTTGCTGTGGGTGTTGATATCAGTGTTGGATTGGATGGACCGCAATGGCGTGACGTACTGCCTGGTGGGGCAGGAGCGCCTCTGCAACGCCTACAAGTGCCACAAGAGCGGAAATACCCGACAGCAGGGTACCTTATTACCCCGACACGACACACCCACAGACACTGGAAGGAACACACACAACACTATTTCGGTTCCATTCATCCATCCGTCAGAGATCAAGATTCATCTCGCCAAGGCGTTGTTCCCCGACATCGACAGCCGCGCACGCACCCGCGGCCCGCGGTACACTCCCTCGCGCATCCAGCAGCCCGCCTACGTGCCCAAAGCCGCCCCGACGCCGTCGCCCTCGGCCTCGCCGTCCTCATCGCCGTCGACCGCCCCCACGCCGACCACCCAGCAGTCGCCCCCTGCTGCCATGGCTATGGCCACGCGCGACTCGACTGCCTGCAACACGCCCGAGCCCGAGTGCAACAACATCGTCATGGAGGAAGCCGACAGGGACGACACACACGAGGAGCAGGGCGACGGCGGCAAGGACAACAACAACATCAGCATCAGCACCAGCACCAACACACACAAGAAGGAGGCACGCGATAGCGGTGCGTGAGCATGGTGGATGGATGGATGGATTGATGGACACCCATGTGTGTGTCTGTTGTGTGTGTGTTGCGGTTCGTGCAGGTGAGTCTGCTGAGACGACTGAGGAGGTCATGGCGGGGCAGGAGGCGGGGCACGACGGCCATGGTGATGGGGACGGTGGTGCTGGAGGGGAGGCTGCCAAGGAGGGCAACCACGACGACACCGAGATCAACAACGACAACACCACCGCCGCCGCCGTAGTAGAGGACGAAGCCACCGAGTAGATTGACAGGGATAGCATCCAGACACACACAGGGGGCGGGAGAGGGGGG